GCGCGGGCTTTTGGAGGGGGCGGCCGTGGAGTCGGCCGAGAAGCGGGCACCGGCGGCGTTGGTGCTGGCGCCTGGGGGCGGGGGACTGGGGAGGCGAGAAGGGGGGTCGCTGCGGTGGTTCTCTCGCTGTCGCGCTCTCCTTGCCTTTTTCCCGGCTCGGGGGGCTCCTCCCGGCGTCTTCCTCGCCTCCGGGGCCCCGATCCCCGCCCCCCGCGGTATGTCTTGATCCCGAGCAGCGGGTTTCATGGGGCTCCTCAGGATTATGATGCCGCCCAAGTTGCAGCTGCTGGCGGTGGTGGCCTTCGCGGTGGCGATGCTCTTCTTGGAGAACCAGATCCAGAAACTGGAGGAGTCCCGGTCGAAGCTAGGTGAGGAGCCGAGCCACTCTGGGCTGAGTGGTGTGTGGAAGGGGCCGTGCCGGGGAGGCATTGCAACCCGAGCAAGTGGGCGTCCGTCTAACCTGGGATCTGGCTCGGCGGCAGGACTGAAAGGTTGCAGAGAGAGCTGAGACTGGGGCTATCGAGAGCACAAGCTCCAAGAATGGTGTGAATTGAGGTTGAGTGGCATGCTGGGCTCGCGAGGTCGCGGGGCAGAGGTTGCAAGATTTGGCTTCCCAGAGCCAAAGGGTTGCCCCGAAGTAGGCATTCCACAGGGAGAGCGACGGAAGACCGAGCTCGTTGGGGAACGAGTGCTGACTGTTGGAGGAGACAGACGCTCAGGCTTGCGTGCTCTCTTTGAAGTCGTCCAGAAAGCCCCGGCAGTGTCAGGCGAGGGGTATTCTAATTGGAGATGCGGGCACCGAGATACGGAATATTTTTGGGCAGGGGAGGTTCACGAAGGTGTAGATGCGCAGAAATGGAGGGAGATACTGTAATGATGGTGAGTAGAAGAAATACACTGTAGTGAGTTGCACTCTTGTGCTGGGGGCAGCAAGGGACCGCGCAACTGGAGAAATAGGCTGCCCAGGTAGGACAGAAAAGCAAATAAAAAGCTTCAATGAAGTTCTGAAACGTGGCATCCAAGCATTTAAATTCTTTTTTAGAGGCGCTAAACTGATGAATTTTTTGAGCTAATGAACAGGGATATATGTGCACGTTGCTTCGCGGCAATGTTGATGTAGTGAAGTTAGAAGACAAGGAAGCGCTGAAGGGGAATTACTACAGTGAGATTTAAGTTATGAAAGGAAAAGTAAGAGTATGCAAAGAAGTTTACCCTACGGTTAAGTACCTTAGGGAGTTATCAGTACTTAATTTCCATGGGAGAAGAGGTCTGAAGAACAAAAAGTTGGAGTGTGATGTGAAAAATCAGAAGAATGCACAGATAATAGGTACTTAGAGATTAGTAGGGAACTTTGGCATTTGGGAAGAACTAGGGATGGGGAGGGAGTGTTAAAAGAATGTCAGCAATACATTTTGATTAAAAATTGTACATGGTACTTAAAAATCAGCTGTAGAGGCTGTAATTTGAATGTGGAAAAGTAATGTGAAGTATTTTTATGCATACACTTTCACCTCAGCATCATTTAAAAGCAAACAATGAAATGCCAGCAGTATTATAATTTAGACTAAGAAGTAACAGTTGATGCTCTGGGTGATGATTAATATTTAGGGAAAATGTATCAGAAAATAATTGTAATATTTCAAATAGTAGCTACTTCCAGTTTCGGTAGACTTTGCAAAAAGCCTTGGAGACATTTAAAATAGTATATCAAAGAGCATCAAATAAATCTAATTGAAGTGCAACTGAATTTGTGGAGGATCTAGAGATAATTTCACACCTCAACTCTAGAATAAAACTTACCCTGTTCAGTTTTGAAGAAATACCAAGTTTTTTTACTATGATTTTATTAATGTTTCTTGTATTATGGAAACATACTCACTTGAAATATTGAATGTTAGCCAATACACTCTTTCTTTTTTGTTTGTATCTATTTAGCAGCATTCAGGGTCATATTCTGGCCTGGTTAATGATCTAGTTTAACAGAAGAAATTTCTCCTCTTAAAGAAATGTGAAAGTTGTTATTAAAATTAAAATTTGTACTAGTTCTTTGTTGTATTGCTATTTGAATTTCTTAGACATATTTCAGTGGGTTGGAATAATTTCAAAGTTTGATTTTCCTTTTTTTTTTTTAATACTTGAAAGTAGTTTCTATAGGCATAACCTGAATGACTTTAAAAAGAGTTATCTGAGGATGTAGAAAGCCACAGGTAGAAGATAGTGTTTTTTTCATGATTTTTTTCTTTTTACAAGAAAGAAACCATTAAATTCAATTAGAAATAGTGAACGAATATGGCTTAAACTAAGAAATTCTCAAAAATGAACAAGAAAAGGAGCCTCAGATACAAATACTAGAAGGAGCCAATAATTCTCTGGAGAAGCAAAATCATGGCAAATAAAATGTGTAACTTTATTTCAGCAGTCTTTTGATTAAGAAAAAAAGTCTTATGAAACAGGCAGTACTAAAACAGATGTTGCCAGTTAGTAGTCTTCCTTAGGAAAGGAACATGGAAGGAGGCATATTTTGACAACCAGATGCTGTACTAGGCAGTTTGTATGTGATGTTCTTATTTAATCTTCCAAGAACACCACAGAAAACCATGTTTTACAGATGCAGGAACAGGTTCATAGGTTATATAACTTGACCACATAGCTATTAAGTGGCAGAGCCAGGATTGGAACCCAAGTATGTCTGATTCCAAATCAAGTTTCCCTTTAATTAAATCAGGCTGCTTGGGACTTTATATTGACATTACACTAAAATTTAGCAGTTTGAATAGAATTTTTAAACTGTAATACCAGTGTTTAATTGCATTTATTGCTAAGAATGAGTATCACTCTAAGAAAATTCAATTTCTAACACAAAGGAATTAGTTTAGTGTAATGTCTGTTGCTTGTTTATATCCATATAATGAACATAATTATATTACCCAGTGGAAGGACTGAAATAGGGAAAAAAAAATCTCTGGTTGTTTTCTGTAAGTGTAAAAATCACAACATTAAAAGCATTTTTATTTTGGCGTCAGAAAAACTATTAAACATTTTGCTCTTAAAATTAGTTTTTATTGTTATCTTCTCTGTTGTAGTGGATTCCAAAGGATTGCATTTTCTGATAATGCCTTGTATGCACCATAATTTGGGAATATTTTGATGGTGAGATCTCTAATAGAGCAATAGATGTATTCAAAACTTTGATGTATTCATTGACCAGTTGGGACATTAAGTATATAAACAGAAATTCCTAAAAAAAAGACTATCACATAATAGTTTTCTTTTATCTTTTTTCCCCAAGGAATATGGCATGGTGATTTACATGTTATTTTGTATCATTTTTTAAAAACTGTAATATCATAGGTATCTTTCCAGGTCAATATGTATAAATCTGACTTACTCATTTTAACAGCTATCTAGTATTCCATAGTGTGCATGTTTCATAACTTATTAAGCCATTATGCCAATAATGAACATTCAATTTGTCTCAGTTTTTCTCCAGCCCGCCCCCCCCCCTTTTTCCTCTGTTTTCTTTCTTGGCATTATAAACAATGTTATGAGAAACTTCCTTATGTGTTTATTTAACTCCTTATTTGTTGGTATCATTTTTCAGTAGGATAAATTCTCCCATTAAGGGATGACTAGGGCAAAGAACGTATGTATTTTATAATTTAACAGATTTTGAAATCTGTTGCTTTCCAAATAATTCATTCCCCAATAGTTACAGTGATCTACGCTGACAACACACACAAGCGCTGGGTGCTTTTAGCTTTTAATTTTCGTCAAGTCTGAAGCTGTGATATGGTATGTTGTTGCATTGATTTAAATTTCCTCAGCTTTTAATTAGGTTGAACATCGGTTACTTATTAGTTCATTTTCATTTGTCTGCTGGGTAGTAGTTTATCTTATCAATTTTTAGGGTTTTAAAAAAATTATCAGTAGTGATCTTTTATCTGTCATGTATCTTGTATTTGTTTTTCTCCCCGTCTGTCATTTGTCCCTTGATTTTATGTTGTATTTTGCTTATGTAGAAGTTAAACAATTTACACAATCAGATCAGTTTAGGAAAGTTCTTACATTGCTTAAGAAGACTTCCCCCAACCAGGATTATGTGCATTCTGGATATTTTGTTAGTATTTTACAGGTTTTACTTTTTTTACATTTAG